CTGTTTAAACCTGAGCAGTCCATAAATCTTCTTTAGAGGGTTTACATTTTTAAGGATCATATCTGTGGCTTCTATTGGGTTTATTTTTTAATGATTTAAGACACCATTTGGATTTACTTTTTTATTTATCTTGTTCATTCTGTAATAAATATTTGATACACTTAAAATAGGGTTCACGAGATTTATCGTTTGGATAGATATTATAACCTGAACAATATGTGCCTCCAATGTTAGATTTATAAAATTTCTTAATTGTATTACTGCTGCTGTATACAATTTGTTTAGCTGAACATTATATTTTATAAAAATATTTTACTTTTATGTATTTATCTCTGAATCTTCACTTGTGGATCTGTGTCATCGTCCTCTGAATCAGACCTCTATGCACCCGCAGCCTACTGCCTACACTCAAGAACCGGTCCGGGATCTATACTGGTTACACTACTTATCCAATATTGTGCTAACAGCTTTTCTTTACGGGTCTAAATATGCAAATACTTAAAGGTAATGTACTTTGTAGGTAAGGTACTTTGTTTACAATTATGTCAGTATGATTCCAAATTTATTATCATTTTAATATTATACTTTTCTTATTTTAAATTTTTTTAGACTATTCATTTCTACACCATTATATGTTAAAAAAAGCAAAAAACACTTAATCGAAGATTATTTCTAGTGTTATAAGTATGATTTCTTTGTTCCGTTATGAAAATGATTGAGCCAGTTTTCTTGCCTTCAATTAGATAGTTATGCAATAACTGCTGCTCCATTGCAAAAGTTGTTTTAAAACAATAATAGGTACTTCCAAATTTATGAACAAATAAGTAACATTTAACTATGCTTTTAAAATGACAAATGATCTTTAAAAACAAAGCGTTAAAGTAAGTTAAATAAGTAATTTTATTTAAATGCCATAATATAGTACTAAGTGAAAAAACCTATCATTTTGCCCAATGTCCCATAAACAGTGGGCAGTTCCTACTCGTTAAAGTGCACAATTCTGTACGACTTAACTTTATTTTAACTAGCTGTCTCCCGCAGTCTTGCCCACGCGAAATTATTTAATTCTTATTCTCAGGTTCAATGGCAGATATCCTAGTATGTAAGTACAATATTATAAGAAAACCTGCATATGTGTACCAAATTGCATCTAAATCAATGGATTCATATAAAATTCATTGAATAAATGTATTAATCTATATTTCTTAAATCAAAATATCATAAAATGTAATATTCTTTATTGAATAATTTAATCATCATAGACTTCAACATTCATAAAGTTTTAATACAATAGGTTATTTCTTTGAATTTTGATTATGCGAGAAATCATTTGATAAACTAGTGGCATACATTTCCAATAATATCAGTTGCTAACGGACGTCGAGTGCAGTAACATAACCCACAAATTAGGTTGATATACTGCAACCACTTATCTCTCGACTCTCAAGGCGTACCTACTCATATGATACCGTTATATTTTAATTAAATGTGTATCATAAATTAGTAATGCAAATTAATTTAGATTATTTATTGAAAGTTCTATGAAACACAAATTAATACAGTAAATATTCACGTTATCAATAATGCCACGTTGATATTATATATCATACATTACAATCTTAAACCTATATTTACACGGAGTTAGAACACTGTGATTATAAATTTGATACTGCAAATACATTGTATGAATATTTTAATTTCTGAATATTTTGTTATAAACATTTAAAAAAGGCAGTCCAAGTATTGCCAAAAGATATATAATGCCTGAGTCTTAAGGTTGTCTGTAAGACTTTGCCCTAGCGACAAGACCGCCTTTCATACCTTTACGTATATATTTTGATCTGTACTGTATTTCACTTGAATTTTCTAATTGTCACTGTATATTTTTATGTTTTTGGTACACTAAACCGACCTTTTTATCAAACCGACCGTTTGAATTCATTCTTAAGAACTACTATTTAGTTTTCTGATCTAGCTGAGATTTTTCATACTTTGTCGACTGACAATATGAGATGGAATCGAAACGTGACCATAGGAACTCCGAATTCAAGAGTAAGAACTTGTTTGATTTGTCTTTAGAATTATTCTAGAACTAATAATGGATCCTTTACTATCATGAAAGTGAATGTATAAATTATTGTTTTTAATAAGTTTTTAAATATAATTCCGATTATTATTGATACAGGCTGTTGTACTAACTTAAGTGTTCTAAAATCAAACTAATAACTATGATATTGTAATTAACACGACGCGTCAAATTAATCTAGATGTTTACTTATTACTCACTAACTTGTCTCCAGAGACATTAATTGAATTGATTAATTACTTTACGATACACGCCACAGTAGCTAGTAATATTATTTAATTTGTCTACTTCATGAGATGAAATGCACACATTATAAGTCTTATTACTATATGTATATCACGGATATTATAGTAAGTAAAATTTCATCAATATATGAATGAATGAATTCAATTTACAGACTCAAATATTTAAAATATTTTTAAAAATAAATATAATAAAGATTCAGATTCAGATCAAGCAAAATTAAGCAGGCAGCCTTAAATATCTAACATCATCCTTCAAAGTAAAAAAACTTACTGAATCTTGAAAAAAAAAACAAAACACAAGAAAGTAATGTATAAGATAAGGTTAATGTAACTAAAAGTGTAATAGCAAGCAAAGCAGTAATATATGATATGTCTGATAAAAAGTAATAAAAAAGTTATAACAGGCAAGTACAGAGGAGAGTACAATAAAAATTGATATGCGAAACAAGTGATATCCATATGTTTACTACTATTTATATTCTATTAATGTCTTATTTTACTAATATAATACATTTAGTAAATTCTAAATCAAGAATATTTTGTATCACTTCCATTTTCATTTATAACACTAACCAAATATTGTTTTATGTTAATTTTTACCATTGGTATTTATACTTATGGGTTAAACAATGGCCGGATGCATTCAAAAGGATATGCGTCGGATACATTCGCGTCTCGATGCATGACGTCAGATATTCTAAGAAATTGTTCATCAATTAGAGCTTTATGTGCAATTTTACTATTTATAAATTAGTCAGACTCATTATAGAGTACTTTGACCGCCGTATTATAATTCAAAGCTATTCAAGTCTGAAAATATTGACACTATTCGTAACTGTATAAAACAATGTAAATTTTATTCACAGTAGGATTTCTGCTGCACTAAAATAGTATATAAACTTCTCGTTTAATAGACAATCATGCAAATTTTAAACTTAAAACGCTACTATTGAATCCTACATTAATGACTTTATCTAATCTGTGGATATCAAAATTATAAAGAGAAAAGTCTCGAAAAGGAAAGAAACTCAAAAACAATAAAAAAGCCCATAACATAAGCTATATATTATTTTTAAAACATCTACCCGTGCGAATCCGAACCGGATGGTTAGTTAACAAGAAAGTAAGCAGTTTGAAAAACTGCAAAATACCAGGAAGTGCCAACAGTGAGATTACTATAAATAATTGTTCTTCGTGGAACAACGATATATACCATTATCGTTGTTATATAAATCCTAGAACATACAAAAACATATCACTTCCAATACATAATTATCAACTTTGAAAAACAAAACTGGATTACGATTTTATCTCATTGTTGAACATTGGTTGAAAAGGCATCCATTGAATAAAATCGCAACACAAACCACACAGTATATTCTTTGCGCTGTTCAATATGCGATAACAATAGATGATCTCGTTTTGAGACGATTGTTTCTACAGTTGATACTCCAACAAAGGATTCCAAGTACTTGTGACAGTCAACGTGAAACTTTTCAGGCGATAAGCTTTAATCTAGTTTATATTTTCACTGTTTTTAACATCCAATTGATTTCTTATATATGTATACGTCAATTGTCATTGTTTGATCTTTCTATGAGATTGACTTTAAATCTCTTATCAAATCACAATTCACGTGTCAAATCTGATTATATTTAAAAATTCGTAAAACCTTAAGTTTATGCCTATATGATAATTTGCACTTGGCAGTCGAGTACAAATAATGTCATTGTCCAAAGCACTCCGCAAATATATCAACAAACTTCTATCTGCTACAGTAAGCATCGCGTGAATCGCTAATCCAAGCGTAACATTGCAAAACGCAGAACAAACTGCTTCGCTTTGTGTTGTACTAATGAGAGCCACGTGGCTGTCCCCGCAATGCAGGCTGCACAATAAAACAATGCCACTACAGTTGTGCACTCTAGCTTTATTCCTGCAGGACTAACTGTCGCGTGACTCTGACTAGTTATGGACTACCGCAAGGCGCATTTCCAGACCATTTATATTTATTTCATTCAGATTTCATATTTCAAAGTTGAATGTTTCTCCAATTTAAATTTCATATTTGTAATTTTCTCTGAAAGCCAAGACAATCGCTTTCACATTATCTTGTCGCATAAATTTAGAAAATTTGAATTGCTATGTTCAAAGCTTTTAAGTTGTAAACACATCAGAGGAAACAATCCAATTCAAGTGGTACAAGTTTCTTGTTTTTAGTATTTGATGCAAACAGTTATGAACTACCTGTTTGCTATCTATTAGACAAACATTCTTGTTTATCATCCTATAAATCAGATGTTCTAAATCTAACCTATACTCATGGTTGCTAAGCATTGTAGGACAAACCAGTCTTTGACTAATAGTAGTTCCGGATAACTACGAGTATAAGCGGTGTGTAGTATGAACATCGAGTACAAGTTTTCTATTAAGACGCTTGAGTATTTTGACACAAACATGAGAACTTTTGAATGGGGGTGTTTGCTCGCGCAGTGTCGTCAAACAAAACAACATAAACAGAGGACCCAGTGACATTAGTTAGTTGACAGTAAACTCGCCCTAGAGGGTCTACGGCCTGCACTCGGTTTTGGGGGACTATTAAGCCGATTGTTGTACCGAGTTCACTAACACCGATCGTTTGTACTATCATTACATCCAGTCGGACTTACCTAATTGTGCGAAGACCTTAGGCCTGACGTTCTCCTGCCAGGCGGCGGCGGCAACGGCAAGGAGTGCCGCGAGGAGGGCACAGCGCAGCACGAGCATGGCACTAGTCACAAGTCGACATCACTTGAAGATCACTCGCGGCGCGCGGCTCAGCGCTGCATATACGGGCAGGGCGCGTGGCGGCCGGCGGCGAACTGGCGGGCTGGGGGCATCGGGGGGCGCGCCTGCGCTGCCGGCGCCCCGCGGTCTCGCATGCGTGGGGCTGCGGAGTGCGGATCTCGCACGTGACGCAGCCCTCCTCGCCCCCAGCGCACCCTCGACGGCAATCGCCAACCCTGCGACGTCATAATCGCGTTAAAAAAGCGCCTGCATATCCTAATGAACGTCGACACTAAACCTGCAATTAAAGCCGGCAGGGCGCCAGAGGCCGACTCTTTGTTTATAAGCGATTTCGGGTATATTAAAAATCCGTTAGGGATATGTCGAGGGCGTGACAGTTCAGCGAATCGTAAGGTCGCAATTACAACTTTAATGGTTAACAACGAGAATATGGGGCCGAGCGTGTTGCAAAAGCTCGTTTCCCTTTCTGGAAAAATCTGAATTCGAGAACTTTTACCACTAATTGACTTAGGTAAACGTTTCGTAATGACCAACTCGAGTGTCTACAATTAAATTCATTATTTGCCTTGTTAAACTTTACTTTTGATGTTATAGTTTGTTTGTGAAACACCATTTACGAAATTCAGTGATACATGTACTACGTCTAGGTGGAATATAATTATTAGACAGAACTTCACCACCAACACTTTGACCAAGCATGACAAACTTTAATTAAAGCTTAGGTACTAGATAATTAACTTAGGTCTTCATTTGGACATAACTTTCATGCAATATCAAACTCATTTAATAAATATTTGACCAAATTTATAAAGTTTTAGAAGGGCTTCCGCAAATTTAATTATTAAAATAAATGAGATAACTCGGCGGAACTTTACGATCATATATTATACTTACACAGGTCGTAAAATTAATCGATTGTAACTACCGAACAGAAATAATGTTACAACAAAACTAACACAAACATAAAAATAGCATAACTACGGTACAGTTCTAATATCATGCACCAAAACGCACAAACGCAACTGTGTCAAAGTAAAAAAGTTTTTGTGCAACAGTGGGGGTTCCATCGACGGCGGCGTTTTCATTATTATTAATTGAGCAAAGTTGCTCCCCAGTAATTTTATTCGAACAATTTGGAACTTTGTCGCTGTTGTATTATACTACTAAACCAGTAGGATGCATTATATGAAGTCCGTGTGAAAATCGATAAAATAAACATTTATAGTGTACTAACATGACTCTTTACGTAAAAGCTCTGCGTATTTGTGTTCATGTTTATATGTGCCTATTCTGAAACAAAGTATTTATTGTATTTGAAGTAAATGAATTAAGCATTACGATATTGTAGTATTTTCTTTTGTTTTGTTGCGTATCTTTTTTATACGATAAAGAGTAAACAAGCCTAGACTCACCTTATGGTAAACTCAAGTTCAGAGTCTTGAGATTTGAAGATATTAAGTCACAGTACTCAGTATTTCCACTATCACGTCTAAAAAAATAAATACAACTGTGCTGCTTCGTTGCAGAAATGTATAAGATAAAGTTAGATACATTATACAGGTAAATGACGTACACATGAAACACGCACAAAAGAAGCAACTGTAACAAGCATTTGCTATTAGGTACGTTAACTTTTGCTACAGAGGATAGTAGTAATTTCCCTAAGACCGTATATAGTTCGGTAATTTATCCAAATACCTCGAGAACTAAGTTACGCGTTCGACTAGTAATCCCGTACAATAATCCAATTAGAAAGAAATTTAAAGTTTAAGAGCAAGTATCTCGGGCGGCTAAACATTTTACAACTACGAGTAAGAATACCTTGAAACTATTTTAGGTACTTGAATTTCAACGCTTTAATTAACAAAATGAAGTAGTTACGGTTCCTAGCTAGTGCGAAAATAGAACCTTCTAATAGCTGAATCCGTAGGAGCAATAAACCTTATACTTTAAATACTACTTTAGTAGTAGTGCATAATCTAATAACAGTAACGATTAAAATGTTATGTAATGCAACGAAAACATTGGTTAAGCCGTTAATAAAACAGTCTGTTTTACTGGATTTGTCTCCTTACTCTACTTACCAACCGAATAGTTTTACAGTACGGATATAAGACAATAATGGTAAAAACAAGATAGTAGATATAGACTAGAAGAATAAATAGGTTAGTGTAAAAGACGAAACAGAAAAAAACCAGATCGAAGAATCAGGTATATTTAAGCTAAAAGATTAAAATAGAAAAATGTTCATGAATATATTTTAGTAACTAAAAAATTATGTTACAGTGCTCATATATATTCATTTATACTAAACTAAATATGGAGTTATAGAACAATAGTAAAACAAAGATTTGTTAATTTAATCTAAATCCACCTTTAGTTTCTATGTGATTATAGTATTTCATGGTAGAGGAGTCACTGAGACGGTATCTATTTGAATATTTGATCGCCTTGCCCAACGTCTATTCTCTACGGGATAACGCAGAGCAAACGAAAAACACTAGGAATATATTTCTATCGATTGTTAAATTTTAACAAATTGCATTGTGTCATAATAACAAACTTTTTTATTCAAATCAGAAACAATATTACTACTTAGAAAACAGAATAAAAAGTTAAAAAAAAAGGAGTGACTGTTTGTTTTTTAGTGATTTATTAGAAGATATATTTATTAGAATAGATGCTTTGAGATTAATAGGATAAGATGAATAGCAGTACATAAAATATTTAGCCGGCCCTCGATTTGCCGATTGTCACATTAGGCACCATAGTACTTAATTATTTTAATATATGGACACATATCTTTACCCAGATAATGCTTATTAGGGATCTTGTTAAATTTTGACATTTAAATACGCGTCTAGGTATGGTTTTTCTATAGCAAAAACGATGGAAAATTACAATTAGAATTATATTTATAATATATCGTGGTAGAACGTATAATATTTGAAAATATCAAATAATATTTTTATCTAATCTATTAATTTCTATAATTTCAATATAATCACTGCAAAAACCACAAATATAATTATTAATGCTACATCTACATGTATTAAAAACAACACACCAATGTATATCCATTATATACGTTTCAACTTTTAGTTCCACGGACGAAACGAGACTCGTACATTATTCATTTTTTGCTCCAAAAATAGCAATATAAATAAATCTATATATATCTATATAAATCTATCAATGCCAAGAAAACAGCAAATAGGGTCAGAAGTATAAAAAAAAACATGTAGATAACTGATATTACTCTTATAAACTGTTGATTACCTAAATAAATAAAGTATATTAACTTTCAGACTTTCGCGTTGTATGGTTATTGGTTTATAAAAGACAAACGCAATCATTTAGGTTAATTGCAAAAAAAACTCGTTAATACCCGGACTTAAACTAAACTAAATATATAGCATAAATCTGACTTATTACAAAAGCCTAACAGAAAACTACTTAATATCAGAGTTAGAGTTTAAACCGTACATCAAATGTTTTCACAAATTATATACTGTAATCATTCATTCATTGTGAACATCAATCAATTGAAATAGATTTTCACGTATTATTTAACTATCTATCATTACTATTTAAACAGTATTGACATATTTTTGGTAGTAATATTTTATATATTGATAAATGTTTTTTGCAATTTCTAGTTATGCTATTTCGTAGCAATTTTATCGTGAAATATGTATATAAATTCAATTCTTCTGAAATCATAACACAACTTATTACTGACAACTTACAGTTTAGGTTAAAAATCTATAAATAATATTTTAAAGGCAAAAGAATATGTTGTATCAGCTGTTAACTGTCTACTGCTAAACATCATCCCCCATAGGGGGGGGGGGGGTAGTTGTCGCCACGCTTGGCAGGCGGGTTGGCAACCGCAAATTAAGACGGACGCTGCTGCCCATCCCTCAACCATAAACTTGCTTAGTCGCCTCCCATGGGAAGTTACGACACCCATGGGAAATTACGACACCCATGAGAAAGGAACGAGTGGCCTATTCTATGCCAGGACCAACACAGCTACGAAACTAATAACTACTTTTCTCTACTCGAAAGAATATAAAAAATAATAATTGTTCATGTTATCACACGGAAAAAAGTATTCTCAAAAATAAATATTTGATCTCAAACTGTTAATGACAATTTCGTAATTGCGTGCTCGGCCTGTTCGAGCAGGCGTTTCCTTTTTTATTATTGTCCTACCGTCCACTGTTGTATTTCTGGCACGGGGCCATCTTGTTTTCACTTGGATAGTTGTAACACCATTCAGAACATTATTGTTAACATTTATTTCTAATAAAACGCATTTTGATCAACCAGAGTTTATTCTAAAATAAATTTCATTGTGTCCACGACGAGACATAAATTGGCGACCGTGACAGGACCGCATCAAAATATACGGTCTGGAATTATATATCTACCGAAATTCATCATTGGAAGAAGCAAGTCGACGATTATATCCACCTGGTCATCAACAAGAACAATATAGTTGTCGTGTACGTGCTATCCCTATTGTTAATCAGTAGCAGACCTCGTGATATTCAAGAAGCAAAAGTACAAAAAACTCATAGTAAGAGACTACTATATATCGCTGAGCAGTGACGCATCAAAAGCATCACCTCGCAACATATTTATTCAGATAAGTCTCCTAAATATTCCTAACTAATAATTTCTTATATTTATAAAACCTAAAGTACATAATATATATTAAATTTCAGTATTGTTCTGCTTGTGCAAATCTACCTACGATAAAAATATTAGAATAAAAATATACTCCCTCTTACTAGAATCTGAGTCGTATTGTATGTATATTGTTTTTCATTTATTTTGAACTATTATAAATTATCATAATTCAATCAATCGTTATATTGATGAGAAAAGGGGAAGGTTTTTTCAAGTTAATGTACATACGCATTATATTAATGTCAACTCCTACCCACCCTTAAACAGATTAGTTTTTCATTTATTTTACTTTTATTTATATAAAATAACGAGTGTATATACTTGTATTATACACATTAAAAACATTATAGTTATGATAACGAAACGAACGTCATCACTTTACTCCAATTAAGACCCGTTGCCGACTATTTTCAGGTTGCTGCCTGTATCTATTGCTGTTCGACAGCTGATTATATTGCTATTGCCGTTATCATCACAGCCATCTGCCTGCACCTGGATATCGCCTGACGAGGAGCGTGAGCTTACCCATTTATTATATTTATAACTTTTTTCTAACATTTAACAAATTCAATTTGCAATCAGTGAAGGCTTCTTGTAATTCATTTGTAAGTTTCCTATCTTCACGATAAGTCCTTTACGGAGTTATCAGAAGTATTAGGATAGTAATAAGGTTAATATATTACGTAGTTTGTTATTTTATTATTATTTTTTTTACACACTGCTTTGGGTTTATTATATTACACATATATTAATAATAGAAAATTAACTAAAATAATAATCAATAGCATTTTCTGTTTTTATGTAAATTGCATGGAGTCTACCTACATGTAATTTATATAAATATATTTTTGTACAAACATATACATTGTAAAAACTTAATTTAACCCTTTGTCTCAGGTATATAATTGCGTAGAATATTAACTAAATTTATTTAACTAATTTTTAATAAACAAAATGACTGATCCACGAGCTTCATCTACAAGTATGTACAAAAATACTGATTATAAAGATCTAAGTATTAAACGCAGTTCTATTAAAGGACAAATTACTAAATTTAAGAATTATTTAGATAAGATTACAAGACAGCCTAAACTGACGAATATTGAAATAACCGAGTTATCATTAAAAATTACTAAATTTGAAAGCCTCTCAGCTAGATATGATGAATTGCAAACTCAAATAGAATTGGTAAATAATGAACATTTAGAATCTGAAATTGATGAGCGTGAACGCATTGAGCATGAGTTCATATCATGTTTAGCTACAGCAAAAAATGTTGTCGACGAGCAAAATCAAATAAAAAGTGTAGAACATGATAAGACACGACGCGAATCTCTTTTTCAAGAAGCTCAATGCAGTCTCGATCATAATGAGTGTCGTGTTAAATTACCTCAAATCAATATTGAAAGGTACAACGGATCGGTTTTTCGTTGGCTTGAGTTCAGAGACACATATACTAGCTTAATTCATAATAATGAGCACATCCCACCAATACAAAAATTTCACTACTTAATTTCATATCTAGAAGGTGATGCTGCTCGTGTTATTTCTAATATTGAAGTGTCATCGTCTAACTATAACAGTGCATGGCAATTACTTTATGATCGTTATAACAACAAGCGTCTACTCATAAATCACCATTTAAAATCTTTATTTAATGTCCAACAAGCCACTCGCGAAACTGAAGATTCTTTGCGCTATTTAGTTGACCACATAACCAAAAATCTACGTGCTCTCTCTAGCTTAGGTCAACCAACAGACCATTGGGATACCATTATTATTTTTATTATTACATCTAAGCTTGATAATCGTACACTTCTGAAGTGGGAAGAGCAACGTAATATTATAGATGAATTACCAAATTTAGAACAATTCAAGAAATTTTTAATTGATCGAGCATTTGTTCTCGAATCTATGCGTCGCAATAGATCTGACACTAATAATTTATTATCAGGTAATTCATCAACTTATAAGCATAATAATAATAAACACGCAATCAATACAAAGTCATTTGCTACTACTAGTCAAAATAAAGTATGGCTATGTATTATTTGTAATCAGAATCACAAAATTTATGACTGTCCAATTTTTAAGTCTAAATCCATTAAAGATAAGTTAATTGAAGTTTCTAAATATAAATTATGTCCTAATTGTTTACGGCAAGGTCACCCTGTTAATGAATGTCGCATGGGTCCCTGTAAGCAATGGAAAAAACCTCACAATACTTTATTGCATTCAATTGACAATACAAAAGTCAATAATGCGCAAATACGTGAAGAAAATTCAATGGTTAATTTCTCTAAAGAAGTTAATCGACAAGTTCTTTTATCGACTGCTCTAATTGAAGTTTTGAATCCAATAACCAAAGAGGCAACCAAAGTGCGTGCCTTATTGGATTCAGGCAGTCAATCATCATTTATTACAAAAAAACTACATAAAAAATTATCACTAAATTCAACTCCTATTTCCATGAATGTTATTGGCATTGGCCATAATGCTACCAATAATATAACTGAAAGTTCTATGGTACAAATACAATCTCTAAATAATAAAAGTAAATTTAAATTAAATTGCTTCGTTCTTGATAGACTTACAGGAAGTTTACCACAATTTTGTGTAAATTTAAATTTACCCAAACAGATTATGTTAGCGGACCCAACATTTGACCAACCAGGTCCTATCGATATGTTGATAGGTGCTGACCTCTTTTGGGACATTATACTATCTGAGCAGACTTCCTTAGGTCCAAACAAACCAAAACTTCGTAATTCTGTATTTGGCTGGCTGATCGGCGGTCCCATAAATACATGTAAAAATAATGATATTCATTGTAATAATATAATTGTCAATGCACCTTTATCTAAAGAATCGAATGTTGACGCCCTTCTTACTAAATTCTGGGAACTAGAAGAGCTTCCTCAAAAAACTATTTTAAATCCAATAGAATTAGCTTGCGAAAATCACTTTCGTACACATGCACATCGTCTTGAAACAGGTAGGTTTTCCGTAAGTTTGCCACTTCGAGACTCACCAAATTGCTTGGGTGATTCTTATACTCTTGCTAAAAAACGTTTCACTAATCTTGAGAAGCGTTTTCGAAAGAATCATACATTGAAAATGGAATATATTAAATTCATGACCGAGTATGAAAATTTGGGTCACCTTTCAGAATCTCCTATTAGATTGCCAAATCCATCATACTTTTTATGTCATCATGCGATTTTTAAAATAGAAAGTGAATCGACTAAAATAAGAGTTGTTTTTGATGGTTCCGCACCTTCGTCCTCTGGTTTCTCAGTTAACGATTTGCAGATGATTGGCCCAAATGTACAGGATTCTCTCTTCTCCATTTTAATTCGTGCCCGACAATATAAATATCTACTTACCGGGGATGTAGAAAAAATGTATCGACAGGTTGAAGTCAATCCGGATGACAGAAACCTGCAGTTGATATTATGGAGAGAAGACGAGTCTTTACCTATCAAAACAATGCAACTAAATACTGTCACTTACGGTACAGCAAGTGCCAGTTATTTAAGCACGCGATGCTTGTGGCAAGTTGGTGATGAGTGTACTGATGAATTAATAAAAACTATTATTCAAAAGGACTTTTATGTAGACGATCTAATTACGGGTTCAAATGACGAGATGGAATTACAATACATCCAAAATTCAGTGGCTACAGAATTGAATAAAGGATGTTTTAATTTACGTAAATACAAATCTAATTTACCCAATATTATTCAAAATTCTTCCAACATTGCTTCTCAGGGTAACCTGATTATTAGTGAATCCTCAAGTACTCTTGGTCTAGGGTGGAATCCTAATAGCGATACATTACATTTTCCTATAAATATACCAATTCCAAGCGAAACCATAACAAAAAGATTTATTATGTCTAATGCTTTTAAGATTTTCGATCCTTTGGGTCTGTTGAGTCCTTGTATAATGCAGCCAAAACTTATGCTTCAAAAGCTATGGCAGCTTAAAGTTGGTTGGGACGAACCCGTACCTGACAACATTGAGCAAGCGTGGCAGGATTTTGCCAATGGATTACCAGTTCTGTCCAATTTACAAATTCCTAGATTCGTTGCATGTGTTTCGCCAAAATTCATAGAAATTCACTCTTTCAGTGATGCGTCCCAAGTAGGTTACGGTGCATGTGTATACGTGAAAACTATAGATATCAACGGTGAAATTTTAGTTAAGTTACTTTGTTCAAAATCAAAAGTAGCTCCACTAAAACCTACTTCAATACCTCGCTTGGAGCTTTGTGCGGCACTTCTTGCTGCTCGACTATCCAAAGCAGTAATAGAGTCAATAAGGTATGTTCCTGACCGCATAATCCATTGGTGCGATTCCAGCATCGTATTGGGATGGTTAAAAGGAGATATATCTAAATTAAAAACATTTGTGGCTAATAGAATAGGTGAAATCCAAGAAAACACGCAGTCGTCTTCCTGGCGTTATGTTCCCACTGCAGAGAATCCTGCCGATTTAATTTCACGTGGTGTAAGTGCCGATCAGCTGTGTCATACAGACATGTGGTGGGAAGGGCCCAAATTTCTGCAAAAGAAAGAAGACGAATGGCCAGTTTTAAAACATGATAATTTTAATAATTTACCTGAGCTTAAAGTGGTTGCTACGTCCGTCATTGTAAACAAATCAATAATAGAAATGGAACGGTTTTCAAATCTTAATAGACTGCAAAGATCGGTCGCTTATGTCAATCGCTTTATATACAATATAAAAAACCCCAATATCAAAATATCAGGCCCATTAACTGTTGAAGAGTTGAACAAATCTTTTAACTTTTTATGCACTATATCCCAACAAGAAAGTTTTCCCATTGAACTTAAAGCGTTATCAAATGAAAAATTTTTGAATACGAAATCAAAAATATTATCATTGTCACCGTTTCTTGATAACGATAACTTAATACGAGTGGGTGGGCGTATAGACGCTTCAACCTATCCATATAATAAAAGACATCCAGTTTTATTAGATTCGTCTCATTATTTATGCAAATTGATATTTAGAGCAGAGCACATTCGCAACATGCACGCTGGCCCACAACTGCTTCTAGCCACAGTCAGACAAACTGTTTGGCCCATTAAGGGTAGGTTATTAGCACGAGCAACTGTACGTAAATGTGTACGTTGCCGACGAGTTTTAGGAAAGACGTTATTGCCAAAAATGGGTGATCTACCCTCACAAAGAATTACGCCAGATTTTCCTTTTACATCTGTTGGTATTGACATGGCTGGACCCTTTATTACATTAAATCGAAAGGGACGAGGAGCTAAATTATCTAAGTCTTATTTATGTTTATTTGTATGTCTACGGTACAAATGCGTTCATTTGGAGGCTGTAAGCGACCTCACTAAGGATGCTTTTATTATGACCTTACGTCGGTTTATATGTCGTCGCGGCAAGCCAGCGGAAATATTTTCCGATAACGGTCGTAATTTTGTTGGAGCCGCTAAAGAACTTAATGGTTTTCTAAAGACTAATAATGAAAAATTATCTGAGTTTGCAGTTCAGGAAGGCATTAAATTTATTTTTACTCCTTCTTACGCTCCTCATTTTGGTGGTATTTGGGAAGCAGGAATCAAATCTTCCAAACACCTTATACGTCGTGTAATGGGCAATTCTCATTTAACCTTCGAGGAACTTTCGACTCTTTTTGCACAAGTGGAATCTATATTGAATAGTCGTCCATTGTGTCCCTTATCCCCTTCCCCAGACGACTTCCTATTCCTTTCCCCAGGGCACTTTCTGATTGGAAAACCGCTGAATGCTTTGCCATCCCCTTGTCTAGAAGACTATAAGGCAAGTTGCTTGCGTCGCCATGCACGTCTTGAGCAAATAAGACAGCATTTTTGGCGAAGATGGCAACAAGAATACATCTCTGAATTACAAGTACGGACCAAATGGAAACTTGATACAGCCAAAGTAAAGATTGGAGATTTGGTCTTGCTGCGTGAAGATACTCTTCCTCCGTTATGCTGGCGTACTGGTCGAGTAACAAAATTATATCCAGGACCTGATGGAATCTCTCGTGTCGCAGATGTAAATACAAAGACAGGATGTTACCGGCGACCTCTTGTTCGCCTCTGCCCTCTTCTTGCTGATGAAGACTATTAACGATGGAGACGATTGAAGAGCGAGTCTTCAACGGGGGGAGTTTATGTTAATGACAATTTCGTAATTGCGTGCTCGGCCTGTTCGAGCAGGCGTTTCCTTTTTTATTATTGTCCTACCGTCCACTGTTGTATTTCTGGCACGGGGCCATCTTGTTTTCACTTGGATAGTTGTAACACCATTCAGAACATTATTGTTAACATTTATTTCTAATAAAACGCATTTTGATCAACCAGAGTTTATTCTAAAATAAATTTCATTGTGTCCACGACGAGACACAAACCATAGTTGAACTAGATACTTTTCAGGTCTATTTTTAGATCATAGACAATCCATGGTTTAGAGATAAACTTGATTTTGTAATAAGATAGTGAGTTTACTCATGACCATGGCCAGTGTAATCTGCACGAAACGTCGATCCAGCCTAGGTAAATCATTCTAGTTTACCTAAATGATCACGTTAAATCCCGTCTTTTATAAACTATTGATTTCAGCCGTTAATTGTCTACTGCTTAACACAAGCTTTCCCCATAAGGGGAGTTTTGCCAGTAGCTCTTATAAACCATATAACTATTTTATCAGTATAATTAACCTCTATGTGATATAATACCTATAATAAAGAATTGAAAACGAATATTCTTTCTACTTTTCTATAATACCGTTTTCTTCCTTATCTTTACTTTCTTACATACCAACTTTCTTTAAATCTTCTCTAATGCAAACATAATCTACCAGGTTTATTTTTTGTAATAATCGTAACATGTTATTAACAATATTGTTAATTTTATTAGTAAATTGTAATTTAATGAGTTAAATATTACTACAATTTACTCTTAAAATCAACAAAATCAAGAAGCGACGATTTTAACTTTAACTCCCCATCTTTCAACTTCGCAGACAGACAATGGCGCAAACAATCACCAAAATGTATTAATTGAGGGAATAAATTATAAATAACGAGCGTACGAAGGGGCTGCCTTGTGGACCCTAGATGCGTCTAATATTCCACACTGTACTTAAAAACGTAACAGTTCCTTTTTGTGTAGCATAAAGAAAATTCTCAATTTGCCTGTATTTTTTTATGTTAAAGGATTAGCCAATTTTGCACCGATTATATTCTTTTTTTATGTTGGTTTTATATCAATTTGACACGATTAAAGTCGCTTTTTAAAAAAGAACAAGAAAATATTAACTTATTTAATATAGACTATGTGTAATAATAAACATTAATTTTGGTGCATTCTAAAAAGAACATCGAAGCTACGTACGTACAAAATTTGAATAAATGCAATCCTTTAAAAATTTCCAATATGTCTATCTTTGATAAATATTAGACGTTTTCACATCAACTCCTTTACGGAGGACATGTCATCTTTTTACTAATTTCAAAAAATCTCCGGTTATAAATTTGCTTGAATTTATTTTATTATTTATAAAGCTATAAGGGAAATTCATCTATTATCTATCCATTCCGGATATATTTTCAGAAAACTATAGAAATTATATCAAAATCGGTTCAGTAGCTTGGTTTTTAATCCAAATTAATTGGTGTGGCCACTATTGAATTGGTGTTTTTTTGTAGAACAAAATCTTAAATTATCTTAGTTCACTTATATGTAAACCATATCTCTTATTAAATGTTTTAATATATCCTTGTAATTGTTTGTATTAATAATAAGTTTACTATTGTAATCTTATAGCGAAAACAATAAAGAGTATATATCTATTTATCTATCTATGAACAATTAGACTTTACCCGTAACTTCGTCCGCAAGACTGGGAAAGAAATACTCTACGAGTATATACTTCTGTATCAAAATATTATACGTATACCAAATTTTATGAAGATTCTTTGAATCATTATAGTACATAAACTAACATGCACATTAATAATGCTAGCTATATCCCAGTTTCCTGCCTATGAATTAGTACATATAACCTATATTTTACGAGTAAATTAGAATTTTTCGTGTACTTATATTTCAATCAAATCCAATCAGTAGTTTTTACATACATCCGTAATAAACATCCATCTACACAAACATCCTCACAAATAGTAGTAACTTTAATACACAATTTTACTGTGTTCTTACCGCTTAGTGCGTATACCGGCCACTGTACTGTCAAAGCCTCCCCTACGTCCAAACTCTGACAAGATCCAAAATCTTGAGCCCTACCCTCGGCTTTGCAAGGACTATTCCGCTTCTCCGGGACGTATTATTTGCACATAATTCATGATTTTTATTCTTAATTTATTCCAAACTCATTTAGTACCAGTGACGCCTCCCTTGTGTTTAAAAATCCAGATGGGAGAAATATATAACTCTAATACTGTATAGGTATTTATCCTATTTGAATATATATGTTCCTTTCATATAACATTTTTATTCTTTCCTACATTCTAAACCAGTTACGAAAACGTCATTTACGGGATTAATTTTTTTATTTTCCAATGAGAATGAAACATTGTATAAAAATAAAAAGTATGCTCAATGAGACTTCAGGTACTATTATAATTATTACTACAACAAATATTTAAATTGTATTTAATACCTTTTGCATATTACGTGTACAGACAGCCTAGAATCAATTTTATTCTTTATTGGATATAGATATGGAAAAAAGATATGTAACTTTTTTGGAAAGGTATCAAACAAACTTATATTACATTATTTGACATCTTAGTAGCCTAACGAATTAAATTTTCCAATAGATTTTTTACATGAAAAAAAAATAGCCTATTTTTATCTTAGTTACAAGACGAAGTAGTGAGCACAGCTCTGTAATAATATAAAATTCAAACATGAAAATATCGATTATAAAATCGCTATAAGTTCAATTTAAAACAAAAACAATAATATAATGTTGAATAGAAAATTGAAACCTTTTACTTCAGTTCGAAAATTCATTTCGTTTTTATTTTTTGTATTGATACTCGTACCCATTCATTATGATCGAGTTGTTGTGCGTTTTAAATAAGTACGGTTTCTTTATATAAAACCATTTTATAAGTAAACAAAAAGAAAATTTATTCATTTCATAATTAAAACGATTGAAAGAAAAATGAAAATAAAATAAATTTATACTTATGTCGCATTTTTAATGCATAACATTAAACAAATTAAATAGACATTTCAACAAATTTTATTGTTGTATACCCTACCCTACCCTACCCTACCCTTTAAGTACTGAATATATAGATTAATTCGAATGTAACTGACATCAAAACAGTTTCTGATTATTTAGAAGCTAGATAAGTTTTGACTACTTAAGTGATTTAGTAACATAGATTTAATAACATAATAATATAATTAAAGATTATGTTCCACAAGAAACTGATTTCAGTTGCGACTAAACCAGTTATTTTGATTTAAAAATAAAAATACTCAACAGATTTTGATAAATAATCTACGAGAATAATCTGTAATTCTTTCAGATAAAAAAAGAATTTTCCAAATCGATTTAGAACTGACAGACTTATGAAGTAACAAATATAAAAAAAAAACAAAAATTACAAATTGAGAATTGCAACCGATTTAAAATTTTCCTTCTTTTTGAAGTCGGTTAGCATAGTAAAATACTTTGTTGAATTATTATTATGTATAATACCCGCTACTTGACAAAGGTATTAACGCAGTTTACATTAGACTTTTATAAGCTATCAATGAAATCATAGTAAGTATAAGTAAACTTGTCTTTCTCTAGAGCTCACCTCGCCCTCACCCTGTGACTAAAAAGTAATTGTTCAAAAATTCCTATATAACACTGGTTAAATATCGGATAATGAAAGTTCATTTTTTTTATATACATCTAGATAGAGTGTCAAAAACATCGCTCTGTAATCCCTATATACACGCATTGACGAATAGTTGTCTACAATATAAAAAAATATATACAGCGGAACATACGAGTATAACTACATCCTTTTTTGAAGTCGGTTGTTTCAATTTCATTCGAAAGTCGCATAACTCGTAAAGACGTGGGAGAGCTCATTAATTTCAAAAACAGACTATTTAGTAAAACATTTGCCCTCCATCTCTATTTGTCCACTCGGTATAAATATCAATCTAAGAAAGATATCAATGTCAAATTTGAATAATATAAAAGCCTGGTAATCCTCTTATCACAATTAACTTTTATATTTCTTTTAAAATATGCTCATAAAAATCCCGTTCTGACATAAAAATCTTATTTCACAGAAATACAAACTTAGTGTGACAACACAAAGGCTCTTCAGTGTACATTTCATAGCATAACGTCGTTTCTCTTGATTTGTGGGAAAGCAAACATCCAGGGCTCATTCTTTGCACACAATAATGTAAGGATCCTTGACACATTTTCCTGTTGACTCGTACCTCGTGAAGACTCGTTTAATATTGCCGAGTGAGATGATACTTTTGAACGAATGTAATTATGGTGTACTGTGTTACACATAATCGCTGCAAATTAACTGATATCGTGTAAGTAGAAGGTACATAGCGCACGTAATTAAATGGAGCTACAAAATCACTAAGTAAACTCCCTACCCTCTGAGCCTACCCTAAATGTACAATATATTACGTTAATTTGTTATTGTTATATATTTATTTACCTTTACAAGGTAAAATCGAAATCATTAGCATACATTTAAGAGAGTGTTCTACAAGCAAAATTTAATATTTCTCCCCAAGTAATATGAGTCGAAAAACGACAAAATATTAAAGGATCCTATAGAAAGAAAGGCTGTTTTAATATAAGAGACTTCATATTTTTTCTTTTTAAAATATTCGTATGTATTACTTAAATCGTCAATTTGACCAGACCTTTTACAAGCTGTTTTGAATAAATAAATCTGAGTCTCGGATACAACGTATTATATTTGCAAACACAGCTTGTCTGTTCCTATTGATTATATTTCCCTACACCACTGTTTGTTTTGTTTGGTTATATAATTTGTGTTCTGTGGGCGTCGTAAGAGGCGACTAAGGAAACTTTACGGACGAGGGCTGAGCAGCAGCATCCCTCTTAAAACATCACCAAAGCCTAACTGTAGATATCAACTTGCTCGCCAAGCGTAGCTACTACTGGTAAACCGCCCAAAGGGAACACCTATGTTCAGCAGTGGACAATTAACGGCTGATACGATGATGATGATATAATTTCTGAACAGGGTCGAATAGTGTAATAATATTAGCACTTCTATCCATTTAAAATAAAAGTACAACCACAGAATAAGTTATTAACGCAAATATTCACTGTTACAAAATGAGAAGCAATGTCTTCTGTCATTATTTA